TTATCAATATTATTGATTCGATGTTATTTAAACAGCATTAATGTTGTTCATAACACTAATTCATTCATTCACTATAATGTATATATAACTGTAGAGCCTGATGATGAAGTTATCGAAAAGAGTACTCTTTGTTCAGTATCCATTCTTTTGAAAATTTTAATGTGCATTTTAAATCAGTTAAAAATGATATAATTTACCAAATACTATGGAATAGCTGTGACGCCAGTTAAATAGGTCAGTAAATTATCGGAACATAAGCATCTAGCTAGAGCTAAAGTACATAACTCTGCCAAGTTATGTAATCTAGAAAAAAAAAGCTTGACTATTGCAATACAATCACAATAGGGTGGAGGAAAGGGTAAAATTATTGAAAAGTAATCTAGGTAGGTGAGCAAGGGAGTTAATCAGCGAATATTTGTTCACTGACTGAACATCAAATACTTACAGCCAGGAATGATGCAACACCTATCCTGAATATATGAAAAAGTACACGAAAAAAACAAGAAACATGAAAAATCTATCTGAAGCAAGTTAGTAAGTTGTGTGAATAACACTGATATGATTATGAGCAATAACTTATGCTCAAATGGTATCCAGTCATCAATACTGTATCACTGTGTATTACATGAAATGAACTTATATCATGTAGAACTATATTCTATCACAGTACCCAAATTCTACACTGTCACTGACGAGAAATGTTTCATGAATCGAAGTACCTGATTAAAATCTAGCCTACTGCTGAGTATGATAAATTGAGTAGTATTTCACTATCGACAGTGTGTATCTGTTTAAATGACAATCAGTCAAGGTTCATTTTTGAGTTGATAACTTGGATTGCTCTTTAGATTCTTTACCGAATGCTTCCACAATAATGAGATTGTCAGTTAATATTTGTAAAATTGTTGTATGTTACAACACTGTTCATTCCCACACCATTGCAATGGTCCACGAGCTTGCCTTGTAACTGGGAGATCCTGGGTTCGAACCCCAGTGGGAGCGTATTGATGAGTCCCAAACTACGATGAAACAACTGTCTACTACTCCCAGGTTTTCCAGTGGTTCTATGGTCAACTTGTGTCCCAACCTGTAACCAATCAAATCCTAGCAAACCAATACTTAATACTTGTACTTGTGAAAACACACAAAAACAACCAATCACGACGTTCAAGGTTACCCTCCAGGAGAGGTGATTAGTAAACTCGTTTGGAAATTTAAAAGCTCACTTCAAATTGAAGTATGCGCTGAAGATGTCACCTAGTAGAGTGATGAAAGCTTCGCAAATTAACTATCCAGCTCAGAGAACACAACCACATCAAAATCATCCACCTGAGCTACAAATATTCTCTATAATATCTAAATCTTACTTGTAAAATTATTGTATGTCTCAACACTTTGATCATTCGACCATCTAAATTTGATAACAATAATCACTTTACATCTACAATATGTCAGGTTGGGCTTACAGCCCACCATCAAACTAATATTTCGTAATAATTCCAAAGAATATTCCAACACTAATTTCAGTTTTTAACGACAATACGGAAGTCTACAGATTATAGTAATTTTATACTGACCAGAATTATTTACCTCGATATGCTTATTTCATAAGACGCAAATTAGTTTGTATTTTTTTAAAGAAATGTATTCTACAATGTATGGCAACTTTTGCCCCGTTAGATGATCAAACTTTATTGCAAAATGCTTACCACCAGTTTCGTGGAACTATGACTCACTGATCCACAACGGAAAACTCAGCGAGGCGTTTGGAGTAAACACAGGAGTCAGACAAGGGTGCTTATTATCACCAATGATATCCTTAATTGTGGTGGACTGGATTCTGCGTCAGACAGTGGGAAACGAGAAGACAGGGATATCCTGGACCGACGTGAAGAACCTAGAAGACCTAGATTTCACGGATGATTTATGTTTGATGTCACACAAAATCGAAGACTTACAAGCGAAAACCGACAAACTGGTCGAAGAAGCAGCCGGTGAAGACAGGACTCCAGGTGAACATAGACAAGACGGAGGTTATGAAAATAACCAACCAACCAACAACAACAACAACAATAGCAGCAATATCCAGCGACAATCACCATCAACGGGAGGGATTTGAAAGAGGTTACTTCATTCATTCACTTATCTAGGGAGCATTGTCTCAACTACAGGAGGAACGGACGAGGATGTCAAATCGAGCGAGAATCGGGAAGGCGAGAAACACATTCATCAACCTGAAACCAATCTGGAAATCTTCGTCACTCAGCATCAACAACAAAATTCCGATTCTCAATACAAACGTCAAGTCAGTTCTTCTATACGGATCAGAAACTTGGCGGCGGGTCACAAAGAATATTTCCAACAGGTTGCAGACCTTTGTCAACAGCTGTCTTCGCTGGCTCTATACTGAAGATCAGATGGCCGGAAAGAATCACCAACAAGAAACTATGGGAACAAACAAAACAAGAACCAATCGCCAAACAACAAATATGCAGGAGAAAGTGGAGATGGATTGGACACTTGCTGAGGAGGCCGCTGGGTGATATCGCGCGTCAGGCCAACGCTCGAGTGGAACCCGAAAGGGGAGCGGCGAGTGGGACGTCCAAGGATGACATGGAGCAGATCGTGTGAAGAGGAGTTGAAACAGTATGGACTAACACGGATGCAAGTGAAAAGTACAGCACAAGACAGAAGGAAGTGGAGACATGTATTTGAAGCCCTATGTTCCACTAGGAACCCAAGGGAACAATAGTAATATTATAATAATGACTCATTGGTCTGGACTCTTCACTTCCAACCGTTGCGTCACGAGTTCGAAGTCCGCTTTACTTAACCAGGTTCGAGTAGCCAGGTAGTATTACTAGCTCACAGACAATAGGTGTGACTCATCGCCAACGGCATCGATAAGAAAATTGGTTGTTCAGCCAAAAAAGCAGCAAATCACAGTATTTAAGGCGAATATTATGTATGTAAGTGACTTATGTCATATCACTGTAGTAAATGTTTTGACTGCTATAGCTAACTACAGATATTTTGCAATTATTTTATGTCTGGCTGTCTGCTTGAATCAATGGGTTACCAGAATTTTTTATTCATCAAAATGCTTAAGCTATTCTTCATTTCTTATTGTTCTAATCATGTAATTAAAACAAATGATCACTACATGAGCTCGCAAGCATATTTAAGTGGCTTTCAACAAAACGCTGTACAATTCTTGAAGAAAACGAAGAAGAAACTTACAGAATTGGTTCTCTCTGAATTTGCAGTAGCATTACGTCATATGATATACTTCAGAATATTACTTAATATGTAAATCATGTACGAAGATGAAGCATTTTGGAAGTAAATACTCTGAAAATTTCTGCACTCAATGTTCACATATTGTCTGAAATAAAGCTTTATTATTATTTTCAAGAGTTTGTGTTTAGAGATTGGACTTATTTCAAGTCTTGATCACTGATTGATGTCAGTAAGAGAACCATTGAAAATCATGGAGTACTGGACATCTGTTTCACCCTAGTTTGGGGCTCATCAACAGTACGCATCCGCTACTGGGGTTCGAACCCAGAACCTTCAGGTTACAGGGCAAGTTAACAAATCATCTAACCACTGAAGCCAGACTCACTGGCCAGTCCATGAATCCTAACTTACGACCATCTCGTGATTATAGCACGACAACCAGCCAATGTCATCAGTGGGTGCATACTGCCGATGAGTGCCGAGCTGGGACGAAACAGGTGTCCAATAATCCATGGTTTTCAGTGGTTCTCTAACTGGTATCAATCCGTGATCAAGACTTGAAACAAATGAAATCCCAACTAACAAACTCTGGAGGATTTATTATTATTTTGCTTGTACTTACAAAATATAATTGTTCGTTTCAAGAAGAATTATGTAACTTCTTATTTTATCCCTCGATTTCATTCGCTTACAATGGACTGTTCCAACCATTATTCATTTGTTCAATAAATTCAAGAGATTTTGGGCGATAATATGGTATATACCTTTTGTGAAGTAGCTCCACCTGCTTCATCCAGTGATTATTAATACTTTTATTATAGCTTGAATCCACACAGTACTTATGATACAAGTATGGAATTTTCAGCATGTGATATTGGTAGCCTAAATTTAGCAAGCCGACCATTGATATCAGGTGTGGGTTGGCCAGGGATCGAACCCCGGAACATGTGCGTGGTCGGCGAGCGTTCTAACCGCTGGCTGTGCCACCGACGCGCATCATCAATAAATAGGTTAAAATAAACCAGCATGATATCATGAAAATTCACTTGAAGAATACAATGCCGTCGATAATATATGTATACGCCAGAAAATAGAGAATTTCAAATTAAATATAACTTATCAATGAACACCAACTGCCACCACTAACACCACCATCACCATAGCAATGGACTATGACGCTACAATTTTAGCTCAGGGATATGCAATAAAACCAATCAAGATTTTGAACAACGAAAAAAAAACAACAAAGAAATAAATAAATAAAATAATTAACTATTGATTTAATTATTTGAAGCTTTTCGTACAAAAAACAACATAGAAATTTAATTTCTTTTAAATCTAATGTGATCATAATAGAGTTGTGACTAAATACAGCGAAATAAACAAGCATATGTAGTATAAATACATATAACACATAGAGTAAATAGATAAGCTAAGAGTAATGTTGTTGTCGTCGTCGTCAGTAGTAGGTAGTAGACACACAACAACAAAAAATAACGTGGAAACCAAATAAATAAATAAACAGTTCGACATTTTTACATCCTTTATGATTAAGTTGGCATTTTTAGTGTATTCACACATGTATGAATGTATATATAAGACTAGAAGAGATACTGATTGAGTTGCAGTGTGTTTCAACGAGAGAAAAAAAGGCAAAAACACATTGAGGTAAATGATATTTATCATTTAAAACAGAAAGAGAATAGGTAGGTAGTTGGGTTGGTAGGCATGTATCCATGTATATGTTATCGCGTTGTTTTTTATTCTATATCAAATAATAAATCATCTCCTGATACCTTCATACCATTTGTTACATGAATTTTTCTAATACAACCGGAAACAGGTGATGTGACACTCATTTCCATTTTCATAGCTGATAATGTAGCTAATTTTTGACCTTTTTCAACAATATCACCTTCTTTAACATTAATTGTTACAAGTTCACCAGGCATTGGTGATCCAACGGAACCTTTAACACCTTTCAAGGCTTTTGGATGGAATGATATAGACTATTATGAAGAAAAAAGAGAGAGAGATGAAATGAAATAATATCAGAATATGCACACATACACAAAAAAAACACATTGAAGCACAATTTTATTCTTTCCCGGGGTTTAGGCAGCAGTGGTGTTTATTTTTACGGGATGGGGTTGCTAGCCTTGTCTCTAACCTCCCCTCTTCACCAGTCTTATTGCTGGCTTAGCGAGGTAAAGGAGTGCGTCGGCCAAGGATCGAACCCTGAACCACATACATTGTCGGCGAGTATACTACCGCTGTGCCACGGACGCATTCTTTTCATAATGGGTTTCAATTAATTTTTAAGCAAAAAGATAACCGATGTAAGTGTAATTGCTTCTTTGTACATCTTGTCTTAATCAAAACTCACTCATTAAATGATTCATCTTATTACGTAACTATAATACACCTACCTATCCAACTTCTTTTATGCGTTGTTTAACATTAAAAAACTATGTTTTTTTTTGACAAGTTATCAAAACTACTCTCTTACTAATCTTCTGCCTTCCCCTAGTTACAATTTCATTTTTCATTACCCTAACTAATTCTTATTCTTGTCTGACAAACAAATAATTAAATTTAATTGCGATTTTACAGCTAAGTGAATGAATTCGCTGAACTAAGTGTTTGGATGGGGGATAATTCATGAAGTAAATGTAATCCACTACCAATCTGAATTTAGCTAGTGTCGAAAAGAATACTGTCAGTTATAGTTTTGTTTTATCCTACGAAAATGGCTCGAATTAATTAAAGCAGATTGTAATGTTAGGACGGACAAGATTCATTGTTAGCCATGGAGTCATGATTTATGCATCTGCTGACATGATAATCTTATTGAACAGTTTTGATTCTCTTTTTTTATTCCTTTACGTTCTCAGTGGAACATAGAGCTTCAAGCTAGAGGCTTGAAGTTTCAGTAGCAGTTGTGTTTATTTTCATAGGATTAGGTTGCTAGCCTCGTGCCCAACCCTCCCTCTTCACCAGTCTTATTACTGGCTTAGCGAGGTAAACGACTGCGTCGGCTGGGGATCGAACCCCGAACCACATGAGACATGGTTGGCAAGCATTCTACCACTGTGCCACCGACACACTAATTCGCTTACCAGTGGTTTAATTTCCTGAGGTCAGACGACCAATCAGATTTGTCTAATTTATGGCTTAAATTTCTGAGGGTTTGTAAATATAATTTACCATATATTTTGTCTAATAAGGGTTGTTGTTCAGTGAGTTGTTTTTCCGGGCCAGACATTTGTGTCATATTCTGGAGAATCGCATTCTAGACAAGTTAACCGAACCCACAAACCAGTAACACATTAGAAAATAATGCAGAAAGATTCACAGTTTTCTATCAATGAAGTCATATAAAGTTTTCTTAGGAAAATGAAGTGATTCAAAAAGTAAACAATTGTAGCGGTTAACAAAGAAAAACGCTTTAAAAGTTATGAATTAACAGTTTGAATGTTCTGTTCCATATTAGTTTGTTTATTAGGTGTATCACACAATGAAACAGTATTATTTACTGGATGATGTTTTGAACACAATTCAATATTGTTCATAATCATATCAATTATAATCATACGACTTCGAAACTTGAGTCTTATAGTTTTCTTTCTTCTCTCCTATGTGTCATCTTATCCCATCCTTTTGTATGGTTGTGTGAGATTGATAACAGAAGCTTTGTTCATCGAATCAACTGCAAACACATGTAATAGGAATGATTCAACACCTGTCCCAGATATCTGGAAAATTCTACTACCCCTACGACAAATAAGAGAGAATAAAGAAAACTATAAAACTCAAGTTTCGAAGTTGTGTGATTATAATTGATATGATTATGAACAATAAATTGTGTTCAAAACCTCGTCATCCAGTAAATAATACTGTTTCACTGTGTGATACATCTAATAAACAAACTAATATGGAATTACTTACTACCAAAGTGTCCAAGTTTTACACATATATGAATGTTCTGTTGTTAGCTTGGAAGCTGTCTTTTTGTTTAGTATTATCTAGGCAGTTTACACAGAACAATTCAACTACTTTTGATACCTTAGACAAATTTTAATGCTCAATATCACTTTTATGGAGCCTTTTATCTAATCAGAACTCAATAAACAGAGAAAACGAAGTGCAAACAGTCATACATTTTCTTCTTCTAGTGCTTCTATAAGCAAGGACCTAAAATGTTACGCTTTTTCCTATTTATCTTCGTTCCCAGTAGAACATAGGAATTTGAAGTTTCAATGGCAGTGGTGTTTATTTCTACGGAATCGGTTCGCTAGCTTCGCCGGGCTTACCATTCAGCTAGGCAAGTTCTAGGAGTGCGTCAGATGAGGATCGAACCCTGGACTACATGCGTAGTTGGCAAGTATTCTACCAATGAATCATCAACGCACAAAAAATATTACACTCAACAATTAACTTGACAGAGTCTAGTTGTAGTGTTCCAATGACAAAAAAGGACGTTGTAAACATCATTTGCTTTCTACAGTACTCAATCTCGTAGTACAAATTATAGTTATGAACTTACTTTAGTAGCCTCTTTATCCGTGACAAGAATTGATCTCAGTTGTCCATTCATTTCAAAGAATACTTCACGTTCACCAGATTTAGTCAGCTCACCAACAGCAAGTGTTTTAATGTGTAACATTTTACCTGTTTCTAAGTCAACCTAAAAAGGTGAAGGTATTGAATCATGTAGGTAAATGAACAACTTGAAATAGAAAAATATAAAACAAAAATAAATGTTAATGCATTGAAGGTGTCCATTAAAAAAATTAAAAGATTGATTGATCAATGAACAAAATAAAAATATTCTTCTCGATAAATTCGTCATCAGGTTCTACATTTATGGGGTAGTAATTATAATTATAGTCAAAAATCACAACCAGAATTTAAGATATTAATATACAATATAAAACTGTGATATCTTTGGACGTAACATGGACCCACAAAAAGAACTTGGAGGATCTGGAGTTCACCGATGATATATGTCTGATTTACCACAAACTGGAAGACATGCAAGTGAAAAGCAACAAGTTGGCAGAAGAAGCATCAACGATAGGACTTCAGGTGAACATAGAGAAAACAGAGGTGATGAAGATTCCTGGCCAACACCAAAAAAATAAAATTAAAACAATCAGAAGACGTTGTTTCTCCGCTGACAATAATGTACATAAAAATCTATAAATATCTCTTAATTTTCTCAATAGACGATCTGTTGCCTGGCCCTTGTCTTCAGTCGTTACAATATTACTGCAAATTATATCCTACTGATGCTTTTAAAATGTAACCTGTCGATGCTTGTGATTTGATGTAATTTAAAACACTAATGTTGTTGAAAACAATATTTCTATAATTATTACTACCACATAAATGAAGAACCTGATAACGTATTTATCGAAAAGAATATTTTTTTGTTCACTAGTCAGTCTTTTAAAATTAAATGTTAAATAAAATGAACTTCAAAACCAGTACGTTACTTTTCTTACCTACACAAATCTAGGAATTCAGCCCTCGCTCCCTCTCTCTAGTTCTAACTCTCAACTGAAATTATTCGAATACTTTACTGTTGGACAAGTTATGCGGTATATTTGAACTGTTTATTGAGGAAGTAGGCAGAATCTCTTCACAAGTATACTAAATTGAATGTGATTCCTAATAGATTTAGATAAAGCAATAAGAAGACGTAATTTGTCTGAATCGTGTAATGTATTTGCGCAACACATTTCGAACAATCTGATCACACACGGACTTTTCATAGGATTATATATGAAATTAATAAAGAGGTAAGAGGTGAGAAAATAGACTTAGGTCAAGTTAAAAGGACATATTCAAGGTCAAAATAACAATGAAGACCACTAAACCAAATAGCAGAGGTAATAGTACATCTGCTTTGGTATCAAAACAAAATTTACCAAGGAAGGTTTAATGTGATGACGAATTGTTTTTGAAAGCATAAAGGTGGTTTAAACTTTCTAATTGCTAGGGCTTCCACAAACTTTAGGATACGCCCCAAACACGTTTTATAGATAGGTTTAAAAGATCTGTTAACGTCAATTTTATATCCTGTCTCTATAATATGTTTCGCAATAGAAGAGCTAGGTCTCCTGTTATCACCATTAGTAGGTTCTGAAGATTCCATTTGTTTCTGGAGCGATTTAGGAATATGCTGTGAAGCCCTTACTTGCAGTGTATCCACACATACATTCAAATTGGTAAATACAGTGGGATGTGACGTCATTTTTCGCATGTTCGAAAGGCTTCATATTCTGTTTGGGGCGTATCCTAAAGTTTGTGGAAGCCCTAGCAATTAGAAAGTTTAAGCCACCTTTATGCGTTCAAAAACAATTCGTCATCACATTAAAGCTTCCTTGGTAGATTTTGTTTTGATACCAAAGCAGATGTACTATTACCTCTGCTATTTGGTTTAGTGGTCTTCATTGTTACTTTGACCTTCAATATGTCCTTCTAACTTGACCTAAGTCTATTTTCTCACCTCTTACCTCTTTATTAATTTCATATATATACAATCCTATGAAAAGTCCGTGTGTGATCAGATTGTTCGAAATGTGTTGCGCAAATACATTACACGATTCAGACAAATTACGTCTTCTTATTGCTTTATCATAATTCATAAAGGGAACTAATTGTCCTAATAGATTGTAGTAAAAAATTTAACTGAAGCACTTAGTCTTTCATCACCGACTAATCTAATTCCGTAGTCAATAACTGTCAATGTAGTTATATCAATGTTTAGTATCCAGCTCATTCCTAAAGGCATTCTTGTGATTACATAAGAAAAACCGAAAAAGAAAGCAATTCATAACTTAAACTGAATCAGATATGATGGAGAAGATTTGTTGCTCAGGAGAATGATTTTGATATAGTTGTGTTCTCTGAGCTGGATGGTTTATTTGCCAAGCTTTCATTGCCCTACTAGGCATCATCTTCAGCGCATACTTCAATTTGTTGAAGTGAGCTTTCAGATTTCTCCACGAGTTTATTAGTCATCTCTCCTGGTGGGTGACCTTGAAAGTGATTGGTTGTTTTTTGTGTGTTTACACACCCTCTAAGCTACTACTTGTATTGCTATTGGTGTTGATTGTTTCCTTGACCTGAAGTTTGACCCTTTGTGTGTGAGATTTCCTTCTTATCGATTGGTAAATTTGGTCTATGTCGATGTGTCTATTGATTGGTGATTCACTGGAATGCCAAGCTTCTAAAAATTCTCTAGCATTCTTGGTGTTTCGTCTGTCTAATATTTGAACGTTGTTACAGTCGAATTGATGCAAACTGAAGAGAGATATCTCACGGACATCTTCCAAAAGAATGGATATCCACGGAGCTTCATCAAAAGACATCTACCCCCAAGGCAACCTACCAAATCAAATGTCCCTCCCCCAAGGAAAGCACAAAGAAAATCGCCCTACCATATATATAAAGGGCATCTCAGAAATCACTGCAAGACTCTTAAAACATTTAGGAACTGATATACGCACACAAACCAACAAAATCACTTCACTCAGTTCTATGTCAGCCAAAAGACTCAACAAAGAAAGAAGATAAAACGAACATCATCTACAAAATAAATTGTAACAACTGCGAAAAACACTACATTGACCAAAGTGGACGTCCCCTTCGTCTTCGTATCCATGAACATACACTAGCCGTTAAAAAACATGACATCCACTCCCTCCTCATATCGCTGCATACAGACAACTACGGACATCAATTCGACTGTAACAACGTTCAAATATTAGACAGACGAAACACCAAGAATGCTAGAGAATTTTTAGAAGCTTGGCATTCCAGTGAATCATCAATCAATAGACACATCGACATAGACCAAATTTACCAATCGATAAGAAGGAAATCTCACACACAAAGGGTCAAACTTCAGGTCAAGGAAACAATCAACACCAATAGCAATACAAGTAGTAGCTTAGAGGGTGTGAAAACACACAAAAACAACCAATCACGTTCAAAGTCACCCACCAGGAGAGATGACTAATAAACTCGTGGAGAAATCTGAAAGCTCACTTCAACAAATTGAAGTATGCGCTGAAGATGATGCCTAGTAGGGCAATGATGAAAGCTTTGCAAATAAACCATCCAGCTCAGAGAACACAACTGCATCAAAATTAAACTGAATCAATAACTGGTCAACAGTAAAATGTTCACAGGGCCAGGAAATTTGCTGAGTAATTTGCTACCGCCATTACCATTACGTAATACAAGCCATCAATACTTAAGGCATCCAAACACTTGCAGTTTTTGTTCAACTTTTCTAGATAAGAGGTGCTAACTTAATGTTTGTATTTAAATGAAGCAGTGTTATGCATTAGTGCTGAAGTTTCAAATTAAAAAGACGTAAATAACAACAGGACTATATGTAAGGAGGCATGAACTGGACAGATTCCTCTGATTCTACTAAATTCTCTAGATATCAAAGTGGGAATAATATGCTTTTAAAAAAAGGTTTATTTAAGATCCAAAGATATTCCCTATTTCTATGATGGGTTATGATGTCGCTAGAAAGAGCCTTCAGTCCATTTTGTTTACTCTGAGATCATTATTCTTAGTAATAAAAGTAGTAACTATCATGAGATAAATAACAAAATAAATTAATTTCATATAATTTCGTATAAAATTTAATCCATATTGAACAAAAACTTACTGGGAATTCTTCAGCAATTTTCGGACCGACAAAGAATATACGCGTAGGTAGTCTATCCACGGGACCATATATTTTACGGAATTCTTCAAATTCATCAAATACCTACACAAAGGATCAACATGAGAAACAGTTAAGATGAATGGAGTATACTTTGAAATTATGTAGTAGATTATGAGATGAAGCACACAATAGGAAGTCAGTAATTTCAGTAGTATATTTGTTATCAGTAGTTTAGCGTTCATATTTCATTATTCAGAAGACTAAAGTTGTAGAATTCTTGGGTTTCTTCTCTTCTATCTCACACATATATTTTATCAAGAAGTGCTAACTGCCAGGCATAACAATTCTTCAATGCACTGAAATCTTAGAAGTATTCATCGTGTGCTTGGTGCCTGCTTAAATTTGATGAACATTTCAGAACACTGATGATATAGACAAATAACTAAGGTTTCTATTACAAGGAGTATGCTGATAAAATGAATCCTATCACTAGTCATTACTGATGGAACTGAATAAGTAAGTCCCAACATACTTACTAAAAACTCATAAAAACATGACAGTTCATGATCTATTTATGAAGATCATTTGGTGACAAGGGTTGCGTCGGTAGCACAGTGGTTAGGACTCTCACCGACCATGCACATGGTCCGGGGTTCGAACCCCTGCCGACGCACACCCGATATCTATGGTCGGCCTGGAAAATTTGGGCTACGATATCATGCTGAGAATTCCATACTTGTACTGATAGTGTGTATTAAGCTGCAATCAAAATATAAATATAGAAAGCGTTATTGACAGCAAGGTTGTTGAAGTGTCGCGACTCTTTTAGATAATGAATAAAATGTTGCTTTGGAAACCCTACAGACCTGAAATCAGAGATGTATATCGCCTTGTTGCAATATCTTTATTCTAGATTTATTACAATTACTAATAATCAAGTTATGACTATGATTGTGTGATTCATTCATACAGGAATATGTCGTGAATACTTTTGTAAATCTACTATGTTTATCACTTCTAATTGCTTAAAGTGAGACTGGTCATTGAAAGTGGAAGACTTGAAAAGGCTAGCTGTCTTTGATCACAGGTGCTGCGTCTATCTCTCGTGAAGACAATGTAGGGAGGAAATCAATCGACGAGGTTGTGCAGTTACACCGATTGAGATGGCTGAGACTTGTGTTACGCATGCCTAGTCATTTCGAGTTGCCACACTCCATGTACCACACAAAACAAGAGAAGAGACAAAACAGAAGTGTGAGGCAAAATGAATAGTAATATGCAGAAACAATAATTTTATTGGATATGATAAATCACAAAGAGTGAATGCATCCGTGCCAGCCATTGAGAACGACGTTTTCGAGCCATATCACCAATTGTCTGTCTCCAACCATTGGCTCATGCCGTCCCGAGGACCCCAACCAGTCAGGAAGTCTACACCTCCCTACGTGGCTGGCTGACTCAATCTAACTGTTATGGATTTGATTGACTGATGAAGCCATGTTTTGGTTTGACCACCACTAGCTTGCTCTTTTGCAGCCTGATCCATCCTATGTCAGCTAACATTACCAGTCAAGGAAGGCGATGGATGGCTAGGCATACGTAACACAAATCCCAGCCATCTCAATCGATGTAACTACACAACCTCGTCGATTTATTTCCCCTCCCACCTACCTAGCACTCGACCGATGCCTAACCTCAATATTGCTCACCCTATTATACCACTTCACACGGGAGATAGAACGCAGACACCTGTGATCAAAGACAGCTAGCCTTTTCATGTCTTCCACTTTCAATGGCCATGTCTCACAGCCATAAAGGAGGACAGAGCGAACAGATGAGCAGTACACACGTCCTTGGGTCGACAGCCGGATATCACGTCTACACCAGAGATGGAGTAAGTTGTCAAATGCCAAGCGAGGCTCCTGTATCCGTTCTGAGATTTCGTCAGATGATGCAACTTCCCAAATAAGCAGATTGATCAACACACCCTATCACCTCACTCCTGCCTATCTTTAAGCTAGGAGTCAATGTAGTCCAGTCCTGTAGCATCATCTCACATTTGACAAAAACGAATCGCATGCCAAGCATTTGAAAATTGCTGCTCAAGGTGTTCAGAGGACTGCATTTTATCACATATATATATATATATATATATATCAGATATAATCATGTAAAAAGCGTATAAATTACTTTATAATCAACGTGATTTTGTTGAGTATTTGCTTTGCGGTCTGGCTGTTCACATAAACAAACACTCACAAGTCCTTCACATTCCCCAGTGGAACATAGGGCTTCAAGCTAGAGGCTTGAAGTTTCTGTAGCAGTGTTTATTTTTATACAGGATGGGGTTGCTAGCCTCATGCCCAACCTCTCCTCTTTACTAGCTGTATTTCTGGCTTAGCAAGGTTAATAGTGTGTCTGCCGGGGATCGAACCCCGGACCGTGTGCATGGTCGGCTAGCGTCTTAACCACTGCGCCACCGACGCACTTACAAGTCATAGATTGACAAAATAAATTGACAAACTTCCAGTTTATACGACCGGCGACTCAGGTATGGAGAATGATAGTCAATCTAATAAGAAGAATACTGGTGTGTACTAAGGCGTAAATAAGAGTTGCAGTGACATGAATTTGCAAAGGCTATCATCACTGATAATTCAAGTCACTCAAATCAAAGACCATCAATTCTATCCTTATAAAAGTTAATGCATAAAGCACTTCAGTTGTTTCCAGTGATTTTCATTTGAGACAGTCAATTCCTTTATTAAATTTGGTTAGTGCTATCAAAACACAGAGTTTATCTGAAAAGTGTGATATAATTGTGCAATACATTTTGAAATATTCAAATCACACATTTACTTGTTGATTTAGTTCATATGAAAGACGAGTTACAATGGACAAGATAATAAGCGATTTTAAGAGTAAGAAGGACAATAATTAACACTACTCTTGGTAATATAGCCGGATAAGCATAAGAGTAATAACAAATTATTTTTGTACACATAGGGAGGGATCTTGATTTAACGAACGACCGTAGCCTTAGCGTATTTCGGCATATCCCACTGTCAGTTTTATAAATAATCTTGAAAGCTCTTTTGATATCAGTCCTATGATTCATATCAGTAATGTGTTTTGCTATGGATGAGGTTGATAGTCAACCACCTGCTTTTGTCAAGGTTTTGGAGTTCACTTCTTCCTCGAGCCATTCAGGTATCTATCTGTTAACCCTATTCTTGCGTAAAGAATGCGACTACTGTCTATTGTATATATGTTCAAACACACATTGTTGATTGGCGTACAGTATAAGATGTGAATTAATCCCTAGTGCAACGTTGAGGTTTGTAATAAAGTTTATCTTCGGCTTTTTCAATATTTATAATAAGTCTTACGGATGACAGAATTTAGTCTTCGTCTTTTCGCTTTTCCTAGCGACTACTGTCATTTTGTGATGATGACAGCAACATTAAAATAAATCAGCTTACTTCTTCTTGCGTCAGTGGCACAGCCGTAGAATGCTCACCAACCACGCAAGTGGTCCGGGTTTCAATCCCCGGCCGACGAACTCCTTTACGTCGCTAAACCAGTAATAAGAACGGTAATGAGGGGAGGTTGGGCATAAGGCTAACAACCCAATTCCGTAAAAATAAACACCACTGCTACCGAAACTTCAAAGCTCTAGCTTAAAGCCCTATGTTCCACTGCGGATGTAAAGGAATAATAAAATAAATAAATAAATAATAATAATAGAATACTTTTTCTTTACTGGCGGTAACCTTTAAAGAGGTTTCAAAGCTAAAAAATAACTCACCTTTGGATATAAAGCTGCAGATAATAAATCACGTTCATCGAAGTTTCGATTGAATTTCTTTTTTAAATTTTCAGCTAATTTTTCAAAGTTGAATGGTTCTATTGAGGTACCTGCACGTTCTGTGGTAGTTTTTTGACCTCTCATAATCTAATTTTTTTTTTTTTTTTTAGAAAACAGGGATAACCAATAATAAATTATATTAAATAAGATTATTTAACTGTTGATTGAAAGTTAATAATAATTATTATATTCAAAAGAAGAGAGTTACTTACTATTTAAGAATTAGACTCATTTGTCTTATGCTTATTTTACAGGAATAATTACTTATGAGGCTAAGTGAATGTGTGTCGATGATCTGATGGCAAAACACCCACACGGTCCAGGTTTTATACAGTCAGTTCTAATTGTATCTGTTTTAATGATGTGTAGCCGCGTATGCCTGAGAAATATTTTTTCTTTATTCTTTGAGTTACGACTGGAACATAGAGCTCTTCAAGCTTTGAAGCATCAATAGGCGTGGTGTCATTAGACTTACACCAAACCTTCCGTCTTCTCTGAGTATACTGGGTGATATTTTTCATGAATGAAATGTATTTTTTCCTTTCATTGTGACGAATGTTAAATAAATAAATAAAGATGTTGTCCAGAAGGACGATGAAAGCTCCGCAATTAAACCAACCAGCTCAGAGAACACACCTAATTGTAGATAAACCACCTCAATACTTTATAAATTATTTAAAATAATCCCAGTGTGTTTAAGAAAAAATCTTGCATCAGTATAGTTGGATCAGCTTTATTTCATTCTCAAAGAATATTGCCATCTACTTAAACAAAAATGCCATCAACAGCACGCACAGAACTGCCTGCCAGTGGATACCAGTCCTCCAACAAAAGCAGAAATCTTGAATGCAATCAAGCTACTGAAAGCCAGTCGGGAAGGCAGCAGGACCGGACGAAATCGCCCCCGAAGCACTGTAAGTGGATCTAGACACCTTAGCGGATGTGCTCACGTCACTAATGTAAAAATTTTGTAAGGAAGGAAAGGTGCCTACTGATTGGAGGAAACGCTACCTTGTCAAACTACCAAAGAAGAGTAAATTACGCCTCTGCGAGAACAGGCGTCAAATCATGCTCTTGTCCATACAAAGTGAAATACTAAGTCACGTCATACTGAAGGGACTGAAAGATGCACTGGATGCAGAACTCCGCCCACCAACCAGAACAAGCTGGATTCAGCAAAGGTAAATCATGTGCTGATCTAATTGCTACTCTACACACCATCATCACAGAACAAAGCATAGAATGGCAGTCAAACCTGTACCTTAAAATCACCGACGTCGAAAAGGCCTCACCAGACAGCGTTGACCTAGAAGTAATTTGGAAACTTAATCTGTATCAACCTTATTCAACAGCTGTATGACAATTCCATGTAACCTCGCCTAGATTACTAGGTCACTAGTATTCTAGCCGGTCCCAAGCCCGGATAAAGAGGGAGGGTTGGGGCGTGGTGCTAGCAACTCCACCCCCAAAACTTAACCAAATTGCTACTAAAACTTCAACGCACAAATATATTCAAAATTCTAAAATTACAAATAGTGACCTTATTTTTCGCTGGAATCGGGGAAGTGAAATGACGCAGGCTGGTGAAAGCCTTCGGGAAGCCAGTCAGCCGATGTGCCTTCTTTCGATGAAAGCGAAAATAAGGATGGGGACGTGGAATGTTCGTACAATGTACGAAGCTGGGAAGGCTGCTCAGGTAGCCGCAGAAATGAGGAGATATAGAATAGAAGTGTTGGGAATCTGCGAGAGCAGATGGAACGGATGTGGAAGGAGCCAACTATCAACTGGAGAGACAATAATCTACTCCGGTCACCCAGAGGACAATCACGAGCACACCGAGGGAGTAGCCATCATGATGTCACCAACAGCGGCTAAAGCTCTCATGCAGTGGGAACCAATCTCCTCCAGGATAATGACAGCCAGGTTCAACTCAAAAGGAAAAAAGGTTACAATCATTCAATGCTATGCGCCTACAAACGTCTCAGAACATGAGAAGAAGGAGGATTTCTACAGTCAACTACAAACAGTAATGGACAACGTCCCAAAGAGCGATATCAAAATCCTGATGGGCGACATGAATGCGAAACTGGGAGGAGACAATACAGGAAGAGAACTCACCATGGGTCGTGAGGCCCTCGGTGAAATGAACGAAAATGGCGAACTCTTCTCAGACTTCTGCGCCTTCAATGATTTGGTGATTGGTGGCAGTGTGTTCAAACACAGGGATATACACAAGGCAACATGGATTTCACCAGATGGACACACCAAAAACCAGATAGACTTCATTTCAATCTCAAGGAAGTGGAGACGGAGCCTACTGGACACAAGATCGAGGAGAGGAGCAGATGTGGGTTCAGACCACTATCTAGTACAAGGGACTTTCAAGGTGAAGCTAAAAGCCTCGAGGATAGCTGGGGATAGGCCACAATGCAAGTTCAACACGCAAAAACTGAAGGACACAACCACAAAGGACACTTTCACTGCAACTGTCAGAGCAAAGCAGGAAACACTACGTGGCACCACTGAGGAATCATCCGTGGAAGACCATTGGAACTCTCTGAAGGTAATTTTCAACGAAACGTGCTCAACGGTTTTAGGAAGAAAGAAGAAACAAGACAAGGAATGGCTCTCAACAGACACTTGGAAACTAATAGAGGAGAGGAGAATGGTGAAAGAGAAAATGATTCAATGCAAAGATGGACAAGAGAAAGAGACGCTGAACTCAACTTACACAGCACTGGACAAAGAAGTGAAGAAGAGTGCCAGGAAGGACAAAAGACAATTCTACGACAACCTGGCTACTGAAGCTGAGAAGGCAGCAGGCAAAAGGGACCTGAGGACACTATATCAGATAACCAAGTCTCTATCCGGGAAGAGATCAACACAAGTGAAACCTATAAAAGACAGCCAAGGGAACCCAATTACCAAAGAAGAAAGACAGATTAAACAATGGGCGGACCACTTCAAAGGACTCTTGAATCGACCACCACCTACAACCCGTCCAGTAATACCAACAACAGCACGTACACAACTGCAAGTTGACACCAATCCTCCAACGAAAACTGAAGTCATGAATGCAATCAAGCTTCTGAAAGCTGGAAAAGCAGCTGGACCAGACGGAATACCCCCGGAAGCACTGAAAGCGGACCCAGAAACGACAGCAGATATGCTGACTCCATTATTGCAAAAGGTCTGGAAAGAGGGAAAGGTGCCTACTGACTGGAGGAAAGGTTACCTGGTGAAACTACCAAAGAAGGGCGACCTGGGACTCTGCAAGAACTGGCGAGGAATCATGCTCCTGTCGACGCCAAGTAAAATCCTGAGTCGCATCATCCTGGAGAGAATCAAGGACGCACTGGATACAGAACTCCGACCAGAACAAGCTGGATTCAGGAAAGGCAAATCATGTTCTGACCAAATTGCAACTCTACGCATTATCATCGAACAAAGCATGGAATGGCAATCAAATCTCTACCTCAACTTCATAGACTTTGAGAAGGCCTTCGACAGCGTTGACCGCGAAGTAATTTGGAAACTACTCGAGTACTACGGCGTACCCCAAATATTCATCAACCTTATTCAACAACTGTACGACAACGGCACATGTCAAGTGATCCACAACGGAAAACTCAGCGAAGCGTTTGGAGTAAACACAGGAGTCAGACAAGGGTGCTTATTATCACCAATGATATTCCTCATTGTGGTGGACTGGATTATGCGTCAGACAGTAGGAAACGAGAAGACAGGGATATCCTGGACCGACGTGAAGAACCTAGAAGACCTGGATTTCGCGCGTGGATGATTTATGTTTGATGTCACACAAAATCGAAGACTTACAAGCAAAAACCGACAAACTGGTCGAAGAAGCAGCCAGTGAAGACAGGACTCCAGGTGAACATAGACAAGACGGAGGTTATGAAAGTAACCAGCCAACAACAACAACAAAGCAGCAACAACAATATCCAGCGACAATCACCATCAACGGGAGGGATTTGAAAGAGGTTACTTCTTTCACTTATCTAGGGAGCATTGTCTCAACCACAGGAGGAACGGACGAGGATGTCAAATCGAGAATCGGGAAGGCGAGAAACACATTCATCAACCTGAAACCAATCTGGAAATCTTCGTCACTCACCATCAACAACAAAATTCGGATTTTCAATACAAACGTCAAGTCAGTCAGTTCTTCTATACGGATCAGAAACTTGGCGGGTCACCAAGAATATTTTCAACAGGTTGCAGACCTTTATCAACAACTGTCTTCGGTCCATACTGAAGATTAGATGGCCGGAAAGAATCACAAACAAGAAGCTATGGGAACAAACGAAACAGGAACCAATCGCCCAACAAATATGCAGGAGGAAGTGGAGATGGATTGGACACTCGCTGAGGAGGCCGTTGAGTGACATCGCGCGTCAGGCCAGTGCTCGAGTGGAACCCGAAAGGGAGGCGGCGAGTGGGACGTCCAAGGGTGACATGGAGGAGATCGTGTGAGGAGGAGATGAAACAGTATGGAATAACATGGACGCAAGTGAAAAGTACAGCAGAAGACAGAAGCAAGTGGAGACGTGCAGTTTAAGCCCTATGTTCCACTAGGAACCCAAGGGAACAATAATAATAACAATAATGACAATTCCATGTGCCAGGTGATACACAACGGAAAACTCAGTGAGGCGTTAGAAGTAAGTACAGGAGTGAGACAAGGCTGACTGCATATTATCACCGATGATATTCCTAATTGTGGTGGACTGGATTGTGCGTCAGACTGTGCATTGGGAGTGAGAAGACAAGAATACGTTGGGACGGTGAGAAGACTCTAGAAGATCTGGTTTCGCGCACGGGTGATTTATGTCTAATGTCATATAAAGTTTAAGATTGACAGGCGAAAACCAAGAAAGTGGCTGAAGAAGCAGCAAAGACAGGACTTCAAGTGAACACAGAGAAGATGAAGGTGAGGAAAATAACCAACCAACAGCGACAACAACCAGCACTAATCACTATCAACTGGAGAAATCTACACCAGTAGTGCTTGCTACCCAGATCGAAGTGATCTAAACACCGGACGGCTATTAGGCTCGTCTGGGTCCTAGCTCATCAGAGCTGTACCCGGTGTGACTTGTCTCAGAAAGCCGAATCAATCCAAAGCACCCGATTTCTGGGTAGCTTCTTGGGCAAACGGGTAGTTCCATAACTCAGATTCGCTATTTATAATTTACACAATTCAAGGTGGAATTTCACCAGTCTTCCAAAGAATAGCTATTTGACAAGCAAAATTAAGAAGTGACTTCCATGACGAACCGACAGTAGCTGGCAAAACCCACAGTCTGAAGCCTAACAAACGTTGTACAGATGTTTAGGTCTAGCTGACACTCTTTAAAAGTAGCCACACAGGAGATCCAGGAAAAGGTTGACACTTTTTCGTTCATCTTACGGATTTATCAATCAGAAATACTACACAGCTGCTAATTTAACTATTAAGTGTACTAAAGGTCAACTATAGTAGTTCACTATTTTAAGTGAGAAAACCATTTCTAAAATACACTAATTTAAGCGAAACTATATACAACATTGACAGCAATACCGAATGATAGATAATTTATACAAACACAGTTGTAAAATAAGAAAACACTTTACCTTTGTTCTAAGCGGTTCAGGAAATCCACCATACGGGAAACCGATTTCACCATTGAAAAATTCAATCACTGACTGAGGGAATGATAATTCTTCAGCTCTGTCTAATACTTGTTCAGCTGTTAAATCATTCTGTACCATAAATTGGGCTAAATCACCAACTATTTTTGAAGATGGAGTCACCTATGAAATAAAGTAATAAGCAAAACAGTTAATGATAATGGGATAGATGAGAGAAAAGAATAAGTCAACTGAACTCTACTGGTTAGTAGGAAGGTTATTTAGACAGATTACATAACCCACTTTCTCATTTCTTACGAAATTAGTAATTGTTTCTACATTCAACTATGGAGTTAACAAAGTTTCTATTCATTGACGCACAAACACACGCGAACATACAACTTACGCTACAATGTAACGAACACTAACAAAAGTTGGCAGTCCACCGCATATCAAGGATTCCTTCCAATTCCCACAAGAATTAAACCAACTGAATATTGACAAACTTTTTGTATCATACGACGTTTGTTAGCTGTTTACTAGAATACTCATTGAAGAAACGGTAAGAATCATATATATGTCAGAAATTCAAACTACTTCCTCTTCCTGAAAAAGAGCTACGAAAATTACTACTTCTTTGTACAAAGAACGTCCAGTTCCGACTGAACAATCAGCTGTACAGAGCAAATTGACGGAGTGGCTATGGGTTCACCTTTGGGTCCTGTTCTTATGGACATATTGATGGCCCATCTTGAACAGACACGAATAAAGCCGGAAATAGAGAGGACAACCCATTACTACCGGTATTTTTACGATACGTTTGTGGTTTGCAACAATATGGATCACGCATCTACAATGTTTGAAAACCTCAATGCGACTCACTCTCACATAGCATTTACAATGGACCATGAACGTGACAGTCAGTTCCACTTCCTAGATCTCAACATAAAAAAAAGAAATGATCGAATGATTGAAAAATCCATCTATAGGAAAGAAACTTGGACTGGTCAATACTTGAATTATCACAGTTTCTGCCCAATCGGCTACAAACGAATCCAGGTAAAAACGCTCTTCAGCAGAGCTGGGTGAGTTGTGTTCAGAAGATAAGATCAAAGGGGAACTCACAGTCATCGAGAAGAACCTTATTGAAAATGAATACCCTTGGAAGTTCATATCAAACCCTAAATAGTTGAAAAGAAACCAGTTTTTATCTGTCTAACGTACAATGGTGAAGAATTATCCATAAGAACAGAAAACAGAATTAAAGGTGCTTTGAAAAGAACATTTCCCGCCACCAGACTTATTCCACTTTGCAACACAGTATGCTCGTTAACCCAGTCAAAAGCAGTTAAGTATCCTGCTCATGTCAACCCCAACTGCATTTATCAATTCACCTGCACTTGCTGCAGGAAGCCCATAGGAGAGACTGAGAGGACAGTGTCTACTAGATTTTCTGAGCAGACTCCGCTTGAAAGGCAGCAAAGTGTTCTCAGGTGCAATTGCTAGACACCTAACTGATATGAAACATACAGTGGAAATTAGTCAGGCTTTCAAAATAATCAATGTACTAAGAAAAACATAGTTACTTTGGTTCACAGAAGCCATTGCCATCAAAAGACTACGACCCAACCCATGCATACAGAAAGATAGTGCGACTAATCTCTCACTACCCTGGTAACCGTAACTATTTTGTTCTTGTGCTTTTGTGTTTTGTTCTGTTGCATAACACTCCACTCAGTCTTGATTTTGATTTTCACTTACTAACTGAGTTGAACTCACTATTAAGTTTCCAAATCTACTAAATTATTTTGTCTATCTTATAATTTTACTTCACTATTCACCCTCACCCCCCTGAACTCTTCACCATAATATGTATAAATTCACTTTGTTATTCTACCTTGTATTTTGTCTCTAGTTGATCCTTGTTTCCAAGAGAGATCTGAAGTCTACTCCAACCCTTTTTTATTATTATTATATAAATAGTTTTCTATATTTGGTTTGTAAGGATTAGATTTGTTTTTACGAGTTGATCATGGATGGATATCAGTTAGAGAACCATTGAAAACCAGCAACGAGCACTGGATAGCTGTTTCATCCTAGTTTGGGTATTATCGGGAGTACTCACCCACTTGGGTTCAAACCCAAGACCTTCCGGTTACAAGGCTAGCTCGTATACCATTCAGCCACTGGGACCCGATTCGTCTACTTTCTATCTATAGCTTGAAATTACTGTAAAAAAGAATGTTCAGAAATTGTTTAAACCATAATTGATTTATTTAGGGTGTGAGCAGTTGAAGAGAATCCACGAAATAAAACGAGCTCGTACTGTCCTGCCTGGAAATATTTTCTTTCTTTCTTTATTCAAACTAACAAAAAAAGCTGTCATCAGTCACTAGGAAAAGTAATAATGTGGTGAGAGCTGGCTGCTAGCTAAAGTTGGTAGACAGTAATTGACGTCAATGTTTATGTCCCCAATATTGGTGGTGAGAAAATGAGAACAAAGGCTTTGCGTAGGCGCATACAGTTAGCATATGGATGATCTGACACAGCCACAAAGAGATGCAAGGTTAACTTTCTGTGAGAAACAACCAATCAAAAGACTGTATTTTCTACTAACAATAATCTACAATAATGTACATAATTACATCTATAAATATGTGTTGATTTTCCTTAGTAAACGATCTGTTGCCTGGCCCTTGTCTTCTGTTGTTACAATAAGACTAAAGAGGTTAAAGCCCGCTAACGATTATCAGTCTAATCACAAGCAACTAAAAGAATTTCACTCAGCTGATCAGCAGTTTAGTTTTAAATAAAAACAACTAGTTTTAAGTGATTTCTCTGACGAAATCCTCAGATCAAGAGGTATAAATAACTAATCACATTTAATCAGATGTACATTTAAAATCAATTTGATGGAGTTTAAAAAAGATAAGTAAAATAAAATACAATGAACACTATACTACGATGCAGTGTATTAAAATGTAAGTGATGATTCAAACTCAGTTATCTTGTGGTCAATAAAAGCTAAGCAGTATCTATACTACTTGTAGTTGATTAGTAGTAACTTTTGATAATGCGTCAGATTTGTACTGTGATAAATTAATCTTAATGCAACTTGAATAAATTCGTATAGAAAATAGGAGTAATCAGAAAAAGTATTAGTGTTGTGTGACCCCAGAGACAAAAAGACAACGCATTTGAGGCCGGTCACAGGAAGCCTGTTTGAAAAAAGAGTTTTGGAGTTGCCTCTATATTTAATATCTTACTGCCGGCTACAGACCATTGTAAGGTAAGTCAGGATGTATTAATTTTTGGGGTTGACCTTTTATAGCCCTCATTTCAGAGTGAAGAGATAGCATAGCTAGATTGTTGGTCATCTAAGGAAAACATCTTACTGCTGTTACATCATTACTCGCCAACAGTACTACTTTGCTCACAGACCTCCAACATGATGTAAATGACCTACACTGCTTTTAATCTAACCGCTATACAAACGATCTTTCTGACACGGTAGGATCTGCAAAAACGTTAGTTCCAGCCAGTCTAGCTCGTTGGGTCATTGCGATATGCAAACCGGTCGAAAATCACTAACTAAATCATATTTGGTAAGTGTAGTCACACTGAATGGTTAAGTGAGGTGAGATCACAGCTACTGTAAGGATCACTCTATATGGTTCAGAGACTTGGAGCACAATGCTACCAAAAACATTTTTAACAACCTGCTGCAGATTCCATCATCAGATGTCTTCTCTCGTTAGTGAAGATCAGATGACCGGGCAGAAAGGATAGACAAGCGAAGAGGAACACTGCCAGTGCAGTGAACTAGCTTATTGCTCAACAAATATGCAAAAGGAAATGGGGATGAGTTGGACATAAGGCTGAAGAGACATCCAGGCGACATCACACACTAAGCCATCGAGTAGAACAGGAATGAGAAGCGACCAGTTGAGCGTCTGAGGGTTACATGGGGAGAATTATGTAGAGGGGAAATGAAAGCTTGTGGGCAGTTGTGCAGCCAGTTGAAAAAGACAGCAGAGAAGAGAGTGGAATGGAGATTTACTGTCGAACAAGTAATAATAGCAATAGAGCCAGGACCAATGAGTTTTTGGTATATATTATGACTAGAAAAATTTCAAACATTGAAATTGATCTCATGGTTGTTTGTTTTTTGATAGGGTATAAGTTTATAACCTGAGTATTACTCAGATTGGTATCTAAGATGTAAAATACACAAAAAGTGTAACAGAAATTTTTCACTTACCTTAATTATATCACCTAAAAGTTGATTAGCTTCAGTATATTTACGTTTAACATTTTCAAATTGATCACCCAAACCAAGAGAATATGACTGAAATTGTAAATTTGTATACTGTCCACCAGGTATTTGATTCTCATATACATCAGCATTACCTGAACGCATAGTTGTTGTACACTCGAATGGTCCATATAAACTACGCGTTTGTTCCCAATAGGCTGAATATGATGATACAACTTTGGTTGACAGATTAGTATCTCTGAAAATAGTAAAAGGAATTTTGTCAGGAAATTTATATTTGTAAACAATATAATCTTTTAAAAAAAAACCGGTAGTGTCATCCCATAATCGGACTTCTCATCAGTAAGTAGGAAGAGTAAAGATTATAGATTGACTGACTAAGTTTCAACACAGAACTTTGCACAGAAGTGTAGCCAATTCAAGTTGTTACACTCCAGGTAGCACACAACTGTAGAAAAAAGAAATTGAAAAGAATTGGTTGGAGGATTTCATCATGAGCTGACATCAGTTAGAAAACCATTCGAAAACATGGGAGTACCGGACAACTGTTTCGTCCTAGCTTGGGACTCTTCAGCAGTAGTTTAACAAGATGATTAGTACGGGAGAAAGAATAGTAATATGGAAAAAACATGAAGCTTTAATGAATTTGGAAGATTGCAAAGAGTGGATGCATCTGCGCCAATGACAACAGTCTTGAGCCATATCATTAACAGTCACCACCAGCCGTTAGTTCTCAGTATCTCAAAGACGCAAACCAGACCGTCTACACCTCCCTACATGGCTAAAATTAGTAGTCAAAGATTTCATGGATTGATGTCAAGTTTTGATTTGATCGCCCCCCCCCCACGCCCTAAGTCTTTTCCAACCTAATCCTACGTCAGCTAACACTGTATTATAGGAGACTCAGATAATGCTACAATCATGGAGTCAATTAACCACTCTGGTCGAACCTAATAGTTCAATACGAACAAAAACAGAGATACAGAAAGTATCTAGGCAAAATGGTTGCATTCAAAGATTGATTACGCGAAACATCAAACTGAAACAAAATTATGGATGATTTCATGAGAATTCAAGGCGAAACCTGTTTGTGGCTGTTAACTTCAAATGTTGGAAAACTTTGAAGAATTCGGTTGTTAAGATCTTTAAGGAAAGGAGTTGAATTCGATGTGGATGCACTGAGGATAACCTATTCTTTACGAAAACTTTATTGTGCATTTAGAAAGTTTCTCGGTTTCGTGGTGACGCACTCTGAGGAGACCGTCCAATGACATCGCGCGCCAGGCCGTCGGTAGAGCAAAACCTGAGTGGGGCGTCCGACGGCAACATGGAGGGGATCGTGCGAGGAGAAGATCAGAGATTATGGGCAATTGTGGGACCAGCTAAAGAGGACCTCAAAAAATAGAACGAAGTTGAGACGTGGGGCCGAAGCCCTATGTTCCACTCGGAACCCAAGGAAACAATAATAATAAACATAATGATAGTCATTTCTGCAGAATTAGCTATATAATTTTGTTGGATCTCAGTTACCCAGAACAGAATTTTCAAGTACCAAGTTATGAGACAAACTTATTGAATGAAAGCTTATTATATTAGCCATTTGCTCAGGCTGAAACAGGTGGGAGAGGAGAGGAACTCTAGACCAAAATCCCACTTGTCAGAGGTCAAGTGCTTGGGCCAATGAATGCTATCTCCGCTGGTTGACAATGAGCGCTCTTATAAATATTGACAACTGATCCGATATCTGAAAGGTAGTGAACCATTCAATACCTAAGTATTGTTTTGGCTTAGAGAGCACTTTTGAGTTAGGAATTTTTCTGATCTGAGGAACCTAGTATACAACAATCTTATACATAAAAAAAACCTCAAAGAATATTTTATTTTAGACCTTGAGAAACTTTCATTCAATATTCTGTGTGTAACAGAACTCCTTATTATGTTGTAACCTTTCCACAGTACAAAATATCGTAAGAATATAAAAGGCAAGTTTATCAAGTGACCACAGTACTGCCAAAATGAAACCCAGAGTGCTGTTTCATCTCAGAGGTGTCTTTCCCCGAAAGTAGTTCAAGTCACTGAGTGATACTACTTTAATGCAGTGTACTATAAAACACATATAATGTGATAGATCAAAAGTAAGCGAATAGGTTTGAGCCTCAAACCCAGTGTCTTATTCTGTATCACGTGTACGACACTAAATCATGTTATCCACTCTTAGGCAAGCACATATATCGACAAAGAACTAGAATAGATGCAAGGTGGATCCCTTAATAAAGTCACTTCTTTAGGGAACTAAATTATTTAACACGTGTAAAGTTAATCACTTGAAGCAGAGAGATAGAATCTTGTCAATATTAAAAAAGCTGGCTGAAGTAAGATGGAATAGACAGTTAGGAATCTCTGGGAGCAAACCAACCAGGAACCGATTGTGCAACAAATAAGCAGGAAGAAGTAGAGTTGGATTGGCCATACTCTGAGAAAACAAACCATCAAGTGACATCACTAGACAAGCCATTGCTCGAGTGGAACCCGAAAGGGAAGCGGCAAGTTGGTCGTCAGTGTGAGGGTGACTTGGAGGAGGTCATGTGAAGAGGAGATGAAAGCATGTGGGCAGACTTGGAGCCAGGTGAAAAGGTTTGCAGAGAATCGAAAGCAATAGAGACGCTCGGCTGAAGCCACATGTTCCTCTAGGAATTAAAGGAAATAATAATAATAAACAGTTAAATTACAAACTGACACTGAAAACCAAGAAGTGCTGGGTAGCCGTTTCGTCCCAGTCCTGTACTCTTCATCAGAACTCACCAATGACCCAATCGAGAATGGAACACGATAACCTTCAGGCCATTTCGTTATCTAAATTGAAACTAGTTAAATCCCTGCAAACAGTACTAACCAATTAATTCAGTAATATAAAACGAACGGTGAGAAAAGAATTTTATTCATGTATACGCTATTGTTTAATAACGAAATTTCAAACATTTAAGAAATAAAAAACAGGATAATTTAAGCACACTATACTTACAAATCGGTGTTCTTTAAACAGGCCACAACAGCTCCCATACTTGGTTGACTAGTTAAACCAGACATACTATCCACAGCTACATCAACAATATCCACACCAGCCTCTGCAGCAGCCAGTAGACATGCTACACCTGCCCCAGCTGTATCATGTGTATGCAAATGGATTGGTAAGTCTGGATAACGATCTCGTATGGCGGATATAAGTAGACGAGCAGCGCTTGGTTTTAATAAACCTATAATAAAGTTTTGAAAAAACAAGATGTTACTCTGAGACTCAGTAATTAGTGTATGCTATCAAAATTATGAAGTATTCAGAATTATCGAATTTTGTTCAGTTTGACAATTGTGCTAGACATTTTTTCTAACTGTCAAATGTGAATAAAACCAGTAAGATGTAGTGCTGGACATCGGGGAAGCAGATGACAGAAACTGAATAACCCTAATTAAAAACCTATAAGAGAGAGTCACCTTGATTAAATATAGATCGAAGTTATGATGAGATAATTTCACCAACAGAGGTTCTAAGGTACTTGCAACGCCAAGATTGTCAGTGTATAATAGTCAATTAAAGACAACTATGTTTTGTATATTTAATGTGAAGTTGTCTAATACAAAAATACGACCTCGACGGGAAATATTAGTTGACATGGGATCAGTTTGGAAAAGAGCAAGTCAGTGGTGGTCAAACCAAAACCAACATGGCTTCATCAGTCAATGAAATCCACAACAGTTAGTTTAAGCCATGTAGGAAGATGTAGACTTCCTGGTTGGGGTCCACGGGATGGTAAACACCAATGGCTGGAGACAGACCATTGGTGATGTCAATGGACGTGAACATTGAACGTTTGTTTATTGGAACTGGCAGCCATTGTTGGGCAACTCGAAGGCGCGAATAGTACGATCGTGTGCAAGTTGGAAGAAGGTGGAAAGGACACGAATAAAAGTACTTTATAACTTCATTTGTACTTAACATTTTTTTGTAGACTTTGTAGTTGTCTTCACTTTAATTGCCAAACAATATAATTTCGTTCAAGGAACACTGGTGTTTTGGATTTAAAGTTGAAAGCAATACATAGTATTTATCGGTTCAATCGCCTACGTCTTCATTACAATAGGAACTTAGGGCTAAGTTCCTTGACAGGTGATATGGCTCAAAACCCTCCTTCTCAATGGCTGGTGCAGATGCATTCACTCTTTGTGACTTACAATTTCCAATCAAATTATATTGTTATTCCATATTACTATTCTTTTTGCCCCATTTCTCTGTTTGCTGTCTCTACTTTGCATTTCTTTATACCTTCTTCTTTGGCTTTGTCTGCTGAGTGAAATGTGGCGACTTAAACTGCTACACATTGGTGCAAAGTTTTATGTTGAAACCAGTCAGTCAGTCAGACAAAAATACGACTTATTTGCTGGGAACGCCTTTTCTGTCATGTATATCTACGAAAAACACTGAAGTAAGATGCACTGTTGACTGATGATTCTCAGTCAATCCAAACTGAATACATTCGCATATGTAACATGAATTTGTTCGTATACAGTGGTAATAAGCAGAACCCTAAAGAAATGAGCTATAACTCAAATGTGTGGATCAATCTGACGGATTCGTCCTTTTTGCGCTTGATTTTATGAAGTAAAAAATAATGGACCAACCACCACCACCAACAACAACAGCAACAACATCCAGCACCAATCACCATCAACGGGAGGGATTTAAAAGAAGTTACTTCATTCACTTATCTAGCGAGCGTCGTCTCAACTACAGGAGGAACGGACGACGATGTCAAATCGAGAATCGGGAAGGCGAGAAACAAATTCATCAACCTGAAACCAATCTGGAAATCTTCGTCACTCAACTCAGCATCAACAACAAAATTTGGATTTTCAATACGAACGTCAAGTCAGTTCTTCTATACGGATCAGAAACTTGTCGGCGGGTCACAAAGAATATTTCCAACAGCCTGTTACAGACCTTTATCAACAGCTGTCTTCGTTCTATACTGAAGATCAGATGGCCGGAAAGAATCACCAACAAGAAACTATGGGGACAAACAAAACAAGAACCAATCGCCAAACAACAAATATGCAGGAGAAAGTGGAGATGGATTGGACACTCGCTGAGGAGGCCGTTGGGTGGCATCGCGCGTCACGCCAGTGCTCGAGTGGAACCCGAAAGGGAAGCGGCGAGTGGGACGTCCAAGGGTGACATGAAGGAGATCGTGTGAAGAGGAGCTGAAACAGAATGGACTAACATGGATGCAAGTGAAAAGTACAGCAGAAGACAGAAGCAAGTGGAGACGTGCAGTTGAATCCCTATGTTCCACTAGGAACCCAAGGGAACAATAATAATAATGATTACTAGAAAATGTAAAAAGATGATAGGTCATTTGTTATGGCATCGGTGGTCTAGTTGTAGAATGCTCACCGGCCACGCGAAAGGACCAGTTTTGATTCCCTCCCAAATCACGTGTCTAAGCTCTGCCAGTGAGAAAAAATAGCCTGGTAGAAGAGGGAATGTTGGGCGTGAAAACAGCACAACCGCTACTGAAACTTCAGGCCTCAAAAGTTTAAATCCTGTTCTCTACCCTGTACAGAAGGAATGTATATACAAAACGTAAGATTGTCTCTGACTTCTCCAAATAAATCTCCCCTAACTGATATTATTAGATTAAAATAACTACTACCAATAATGCGTCACCGTCTACTTCTTTATTATATAATACTGATAAAAAGAGGAGTAGAATAAAATAAGCTTTACTATGGTCAACCCAAAATATATTACCGGTCTAGGCGGCTATTGAGCACTAGTTTAATTTGTGTCGAAAATTTCAGAATGATTAAACCTCAAGTGTAAATATGATACTAGAAATAGCTGTAAATACTTACGCACCAGCTATGAGTATCTGTCCACTTTTCATCATATTCTCAGTTATATTTTTAACCTCTCATGGCCCAAGTGGTCTAGCGGATAATACTTTGGCGTTTGAAACTATGGGCACTGGGTTCGAGCCTCGGTGGGAACATCATCACTCACTGAGAAATACCGGTACGTTCAGACGACGAGTCCCAAATAGGACGAAATGCGCATCCTGGATTCCACTGCTAGTCACCATCCACCAATTAAATACTTATCTACTTCCGATTATTTCCGTCAACAAATGAATTCTCTAATCAAGTACACCACTAATTGGTTAGCTGCATCTACAACAAGTGAAGTGGTCATCGTTAATTTAATCTGACTGTAAAATATTACTGACTAAAGTGAAAGATTTGAAATTACTGAAACTAGTCAGAAGTATCATCTCCACTAATATTCTTGATTATCCTTTTTCTAAGGAATTTGAAACAATATAGTATTGTACAATAGTGTGTCTTTATGATTAATTCTTTTACTTGTTTATTCATTCCTCGCTTTCCAAGTGACGCACGGGACTTCAAGCTTTGAAGTTGCAGCAACGATTGCTAGCCTCACACACAACGTCCCCTCTTTCCCCCGCTACCAACTACCAACTAGGCAAGGTTTACGAACACATTGACCGAGAAACGAACCCGGACTTCCCGCATGGCTGTTGAGGATACTACCATCAAATCACAGACACATTTTAAAGACTGGTAACACTCACTATCCCATGCTGGTCACCGATGCCACCACTAACCTCAGAGCAAAAACCACTTAACTTCGGTAATTGGATAATAAGAATCAGAGTTTTCAATGTGGTATGTTCGCCGACTCGTAGTTGGAGTTACCCGCATTGGCGTTAGTTAGCAGTAGAATCTAGGACGAGCATTTCGTCCGTTTTAAGACTCATCAATTGGATGTACTTGCTTCCTAGTGAGTGATTGTGTTCCTACTGAGACTTGAATCTATTACCCATCGCTTCAAAAGCCAACGGGTTTTCCAATGCGCCAAATACTTCAGCTTACAACTTGAACAGTGTGAAAAGAACATTGTATACGAAGCTAAATGAATTCATTTTCTTTCATAGGCTTTTTGTAAGTTGTGTACAACTTGATTAATAATAAAATACCGTAAGCAATCACTTTGCCATGATTTCTGACATACTTTAAGTGAATGTTCAATTCAATTTTCTGGAAATATAGAATCAACATTTTTCTAAAACACGAAAATAATGTTGAAATTTATTCAGGAAGTTCATTAAGTAATCCCATGACTACTAATGTCTGAATTCAAGTTTATATTAGAGAATATTTCTCTTTCCCTATAAAATATAAAGAATATATCTCTACTTTGGTCATTATTTTATTACTCCAACTTCCTGTATAGTTTAAAAATCATATTCGTTTTCTGATAGTGAACTGGGTATCTCTATTTAAACTATGTCGAAAACGATGTCACAGTGATTACTTATGGTATGTAATTGATGAATACCCTATGAAAGTATTAGTTTTCGCTGAATTTAACAGTGAACTGTACTTTACTAGCTGAATTCTTCGCTTACCCTCTTCTCTGATTCTTTTCTCTTCTAAATTCTCGTATCATCAGTAAACCTTAGGAAATATAATAATTTTCAGATTATGGAATTTTGTACGGATTTGGATTAATTTTATTGTATATTTAGTCACTAATCAATACCAGTTACAGATCATAGAGGGACTAGTTTGGGACACTTCAGGAGTGTGCGCCTACGATCTGGCCAGAGATCAAACCCAGGACATCTAGGTTAAGAGGCAACAGGTCGTTGATCACCAATCGGTCGGAATTTAATGGTCCGTGAATTAGTGATATTGCGGTAACCTCAACCAATGCCCTCGATATTGCATCCACTTCACGTTCGACATAGTGGACCCCACTGGTCACTTTTTTTTCAGTAGAGATTCGACACATCAAACCGGAATAACCTTTCATAAAGCTTACTGTTTCACCAATAGTGATAACACTATTTAGTTTACAACCACACAGGTGGTGGTCCGTGGTTTGATCCCCAGTCGACGCACTCCTTCACCTCTCTAAGCCAGTAATAAGACTAGTAAAGAGGGATGGTTGGGCATGAGGCTAGCAACCCCATCCCGTAAAAATAAACACCACTGCAACCGAAACTTCAAGCCTTTAGCTTGAAGTCCTATTTATAAAAAATGCAAAACACTATTGAGTATCATTGTCATTTATTCTATATCTTCTCACATTCAATTTATTTCATTCTAGTATAAGCTAACGCGTCCATACTCTTCTCTTTCTTACACTATTTTGAAATATAACAAGTTGGAAAAGTGTGCTTACATTGTGCAAAGTATCATATTCATCAGTCTGTCTAAATACAGTCAAAACAACTTGGACTAGACAGGAGGCCCTCAGTCGACAACATGAAAAATGGTTAACAATCAAGAAATTGATATACTTATGTCATTTTCTTATATGGTAGTTGTTAATCTTTCCCTAATCTACTCTCACTATATGTGATATGATATGTATAACATATCATCAAAAAGCTCCAGTCGATAAAGATTAATAACCTTATCAGATAGCTAATCCTAATCATAAGTAAGACTAATCCTTTCTTTCATCTAACTGGAAAATAATTAAGGCTTTTCGGAGTTTGATTGTAACGCCTTCTTTCATAATTAATCGATAAATCGAGGCACAACAGTATATATTCTTGTAAACACTTATGAAATAGTAGAACTTTTCCCCGTTCAGTGAGATATATATGCATACATAATATAATCAATGCCTCGGTAATTCACTGGCAGAATTCTCACCAGTCACACGAGAGGTCGAGGTTCAATTCCTGGCCGACATATCCCCTCAAACTTCGCCTTGTTTACTAGCCGTTAGTAAGTACGAAAAGTAAGTGAGGCTGAGCATGAGGCTGTAAAAACAACACTACCGCTAGTGAAACTCTATTTAGAAGGCAAAGGAATGAAAAAGAAGCGACACAAGATTATAAAACGCTGCTCAACACAAATTGGAAAAGGAAAAACGATTAAAAATATTTACTATCTATTGAATCATTAAATGTTATATTCATTTTTATATAAGTACACTGGATACACTTACCTGCCATATCTTTAATTCCTAATATATGCGTTCCAGCTTTTACAAGTTCATCAGTTAAATCCAAGTAATATTTTAAATTGTATTTATCAAGTTTAGGATTTGAAAGATCACCTGAATAGCATATTGAACCTTCAACAACACCGCCAGCAACGCCTACAGCATCCATACCCATAATTAAATTTGGCAGATAATTTAAACTATCAAATACTCGAAATATATCTATACCATTCTTGACTGCAACTTCACAAAATCTAGAATGATGGGGAAAAACAAACAAAACAAAGAAAAGTGAAGTGAAAAGAAGAAATAATTCGATAAAATTAGCTTTAATCGCTGTGATTACACTACACAGGTCGAATTATGAGTAGGATGAAGGATAATCTATGATACATCAATTCAAGATTTCAGCATAAATTTCTTCATTAGCTAGAGAAACATAGAAAACCAGAAAGCATTGGATAGTTTGGAATTCATGACCTTATCATAGATCGAATCAAAGACGTTCAATTCAGTACACTAGTCTGTTAACCATTCGACCAATAGGTTGAAATCCAATGACCTATAGATGCTAACATATGTCAGAGGGTTAGCCTCGTAACCTAAAGGTATTGGGTCCCATCCCAATACACTGCTGAAAAGTCCCAAACGATGACGAAACACCTATCAATGATTCGGTGTTGGTTCGTGAGAAAATCCAAGTTTCCCAAAAGGCCGAAATCTGAATTTAATATCTGATTATTTTGCCTAAAGGAGGTTAGTGTAAGAGCAGAAAATTATGTTTTAGCAATTTGTCTGTGATACAAAACACTGTCGCAATACGGTAGTATTTGCCGGGATCAATTCGCTGTAATCATATCAGAGTCAAGCATAAATATAGGCTCTAAACTGTGCTCGAAATTGTATTCATTAATAAATACGTTAACAGTGTGTGTCTAACTGACTGAGTTTCAACACAGAATTACAGCAGTTCATATTGCCACACTTCATTTAACACGTGAAGATAGAGAAAAAGAGATTCAAGTGAAATATAATAAGCAGAAATGTGAGGGACAGGGGGAAGAATAGTAAAATGGAAAAGTATGAAGATTTAATGGACACGGGAGATCACAAAGAGAGAATGCATCTGCGCCACTGAGAACGATTTTGAACCATATCACTAACTGTCTCCAGGTTAGGTTCTCAAGGACCTCAACCAGCCAGTCTACATCTTCCTATGTGAGTCGAACTAACAGTCAAAGTCTTTATGGACTGATTCCAGGTTTTGGTTTAACCATCTCTAACCATTTACCAACCTAATCCAGTATCAGCAAACATTGCTCTTCCAGGAAGGTGGTAGCTCGGCGTGCGCAACACGTGTCCCAGCTATCTCAATTGATATAGATTCACAAATTCATCGATTGACTTCTCCCCCCTCCCCTATATAACACTCGGAACCTTACCTAGATATTGCTCACTACATGATACCGCTCAACACGGGAGATAGAACGCAAAGACAGCTAACCTTTTCATATGTATGGCCACGCTGACCATCTTGGTCCAGCCTTGATTCAAACTGCGGACCTTTCGCGTGTGTCTCACAACCATAAAAAAGGATGAAGCAAACAGCTGTGCAGTATACACACCCTTTGATCGATAGTTGGGTATGAAGTCAACGCAAGGGATGACGTTAGTCGGTTAAATGCCATACAACCTTTTTGTATCCATGTTGAGATTTCATCAGCAATCAGTCCATTAGAGTTGATGGAATTTCTCCACTGCACTTCCTATGTCTAAGCTAGGAGTCAGTGTAGTCCAGTCTTGAAGCATCATCTTACACTTAAAATGTTTTTAACACCAAATGAACAGATCTAGTAAGTCAGTGGGTGTTTATGAGAATTGTAAAAGAAAATGTAGGATTGTCATTTAAGGGGCAGAACAACTCAAAAATTACTGGGTTGGTATATTTTGAAACTGATGGGCATAGTACTAGTAACTTTGATTATTTGTATGTTTTCATTTACCTTATTCTTTTACTGTGAATAGTGTGTCATTTTAAGTTAAGTCAGCTGACATTAATTGTAGGAAGAGAATACTTTAACCAATCTACTGGTACCTAACACTGTAACACAGAATTTGTAATATGGCCAAATTTATTTCATCATAGCATATGTGTAAACTTATCAAGGCAATAGGAACTTGACTGCAAATACACACACACACGCACACACAATGGACATACGTAACACTGTATTGGAGAAGAATAGGAGGTAAGAAAATACCCTTAAATAATAATTATTCACACAGATGACATTAAAACTTTCATGGTTATGCATTTACGGACGGAAATACAAAATACACTACGTCATGTGATACACTTGAATCGATAAAGTACTAGTTCAGAGATAATTAGGTCAAAATCCAAGCTGTGTATTACATATTTTTTTATTATACAATTTCGGAATATTAACCCAGTTAGAAACAAATATTTAGATACATCCCACAATGGTATAAGGTTACATTAAAGAAGAATGAGAATAAATAATTTTTAAAACAAAGTCCGTGGGTTCATGGGTAGAATACTCGCCAACCACATAGGCAGTCTTGGGTTCGATTCCCGGACGATGCACTCCTAAATCTCACCTAGTTTACAAGCTGGTAGAAAGGTGAAGAAAGAAGGAAGTTTTGACGTGAAGCTAACATCTCCCTCCAACCAACCAACCCCCTCCCCCGCCCACAAAAGCAACATCACCACCACCACTGAAACTTCAAAGCTTGAAGCTCTACGTTCCAGTCAGTAAGCAAAGGAATGGAAGGAATCAATATCATTTCATCATTGATTTGAGTGGAGTGGATTGGAGTTCATAAAATATAAATCTATGGTATATTTCAGGTTCGTAAAGTTAGAACAGTAACCTTTAAAACGTGAATCTTCAGCAAACTTTTGACCTACAAAGTGGACAACATCAACAACCAAATAGAACACAACTCATGTCTCTTTTTGTAAACATTTATTTATTATGAAAATAATACAACTCATAAGCCTGTGTCTTTACAGTATTATTTAACAATTTCATCACATTTAAATGGAAAAATCTGTTGTAGAACTGACAAGCCACTTAAAAAAACATCAAGAGGGTCATTTTAGTGATTTCATTTTCTTTACCTGTTTAATCAGTTGTATTTTCAAATGGTCTACGAGCTCGCCTTGTAACCAGAAGGTCCTGGGTTAGAGTCCCGGTGTGCGCGTACTGCTGAAGAGTCCCAAACTAGGACAAAACAGCTGTCCAGTACTCCCAGGTTTTCCAGTGGTTCTCTAACTGATGTCAGCTCATGATGAAATCCTCCGTGCAATTAAACAAAATCCCTACCAAACCAATACTTGAAAAATGATTTTCCCACAAAAGAGGATAGCGGCCAAAGAGATGAATTGTCATAACCACTTTTTCTTATTCCTTTGTATTTTGTGTGGGATACAGGACTTCATGCCTGAGCTTTGAAGTCTCAGCGTTTTTTACGATATGCAGTTACTAGCCCTACGTCAAACTTGCCCTCTTTACCAAGCTTACTACCTCCTCCTAGGCGAGGTTATGGAGTGCGTTGGCTGTGGATAAAACCCTTCACCATACGCATGGTTGGTGAGTATTCTACTACTAAACCATTCATGTACGTCATAAGCAAAGCTGCTAATATTAACCAGTAAATAAGAGAAGTTGAATAAGAGTGACACAGTTATGTAACGAGGGGAATTATTTAAGAAATACGATGTAATCAGGATGCACACTGAAACAAAGTAAATGTGATATTATTTAAAAATTCGAAAGAATGAAAGAATTTTTTTTAAATGATTGAAGACAACAAGGTAATCATGAAAATAGTGGAAGTAGTTGAAGAGTTCTTTTCTTCTTTTATCTAGCTTCTCTATTTGAATGTTTATAGCTTCAGAAATGCAAAGCAATAGTGTGCGTACTGTCTTAGGCAAATTGCTCTTCACTTCGTGAATTACTCTGAATTGAAGCATGAATAGAGAAGTATTCAGTTATTACATTCCTGTAACCATGATTGCTAATGTTATTAAACGCCTATTAGATAGGATACACATCGAACAATCTATATACCTGTCCATCCACCCCACCCCCCAGCAGCACTGCTCCATTTTGTTATATATAAAGGCTACCTCAGATAGTACGAACAATATTTAGAATACATTTCTAGTAATAAAGTCCACTAACGGTAAATACTGTCGAAGACGGATGAATATATAAGAGAGTAAGTTGACTGTAGATATGGATAATAAAGTTTTATCGGAACAGTGTTCAGTAGCTAAGATGATGGTTCAGTTTCAGATACTGCAAAATATAGCTACTCCCCAACAGACTATTCATACTTCGACTTTAAATCACTTAAAAAATAAGGCTAGACAGCAAATAAGATACTAATTAATTCAATTTAGATTTTCCCGTCGACTGATTGGACCGAAGTGCTCAGTCTCAGGTTGACACGTCGGCTCCTTGTGCAAATGCTTCAACGATGTCTGGTCATGTAACTTGAAGTCAATTGGTTGATGGTGACTAGCAGTGGAATCCAGGATGCGCATTTCGTCCTCGAGCTTCGGTGGGAACACCATCACTCACTGACTGATGGAGAGCAGGTACATCCTGACGACGAGTCCCAAATAGGACGAAATGCTAGTCACCATCAACCAATTGACTTCAAATAAGATACTACATCTAAAAGTATAGCTCACCGCAAAAATTTCTAGTGTGAAATCATCTTAAGTCGTCAACTCAGCTAGTGTATACTTGAGAGAACATTTAATTGAGTAGAAGTCAATATCAGTTTCCCAACCATATCGCAATGCTGACATATTACGCTAAAAACAATTCATGAATGATATTCACACAAGTTTAACTACTCCTTCGTCTCTACTTTTAATATGCTATTATTACTGTACTGAAAAAAAATATACACCATCAATTTAAGATCATATGATTGTCCAATATGTTACAAAAATCTTAATCTCATGTATTCATGTGATATAAATAGAAAATAGAATTCTCATCAACGCCTACGAATGCGCGATTACTGATTAACTCACGTGTAATACACATATAATTAATTTACAGTAGAGTGATTTTCACTACAGAAGACATAGTAATGCATTCTAGCTGATGAAACGAATCTAGTCCCAGTGTCTGAATGGTCTATACTCTTGAATTGTAACAGGGAGGTCGTAGGTTCAAACCCCGCGGTGGGTGAGTGCTGCTGAAGAGTC